ATAGATCTGAGGTGCTGATCCGTTAACTTTGATCTGTGACGGCCCACAATGCATTGCGAGATCATGTGCCCTTTCGAGCCCTAAACACCACATTCTCGGTCAAAGTGCGCCATCTAATGGAGAAATGGGGGCATTACAGGAGAAAGGTAAAATTTAATTTAATAATAATAATATTTGGACAAGTTCGGCGGACCGGATTAAAAAGCCCATGTCTGGGTCATATTCTTTGCGTCTTTCGGTAAAGTCACGTAGATAGGTTCAAATTAATAAAAAATAAAATAAAATAAACTACGACGTTTCGATCACAACACAAGCGATCGTCACTCTTTTTCCTCCTGTTGACGATCGTTTGTGTTGTGATCGAAACGTCGTAGTTTTTTTGTTTATTTTATTTTGATTAATTTGAACCTATCTACGTGACTTTACCGAAAGACCCAAAGAATATGAATTCCTGCAGTCACGAAAGCTTTAAGTCAAGATGGAATAAATGTTCTTAACCTCAATTGTGAATACATATTCATAAAATTATATCAAAGGAGGCTTTGCTGGAAAACGCCCTTTTGTATTTCTAAGAATTCCATCTTCAGAAATGATTATGTGAGTATTTGTCAGGAGTGGAAGAAAACTTTTTTTCAGATCCGAATTTGAGGTTTAAGGTTCAAACCTTAATAAACCTAAAAAACCTCATGGTTTTATTCGCAATACTCCCAGATCAGTACTGGTCCTCCTCTGACGAGTCCATGTCGTCGCCCTCGGACATAGAACTATATTTGGCGAACGCCACATAGTTGCTCTTGAGGTAGACCAACTTCTCCACCGAACTGGGCGCCAAGCTGTTCCTGAGCTTGCTGTGTATGAAGCCCATATTTGAGAATTTGCACTCCGAGGCTGCAGAGGATGTCGCCATCATGAACAGCTTGACGCCGATCTTCTGAAGATCGGGCCAGGCTACGCCGTCAGACTGCCAATACTGCAAAGGTGTCTTACGTCCCTTGAGCAGCATAATGAATCTAAACCCGCCGGCATCCTCCTGCTGCGCTGAAATGACGTACTCGTTGAGCTGCATAAAGAGCACCTCTCGCCTCTTGTCATCAACCGCCGTCTCATCGTCGATCGGTGTCTCCAGTAAAGATGTTCTCCAGTTATTTTCGATTAGCCGGGCTCAAGCCCTCTCCAATGTAGGGAGGATCTAACAGATACGCCAGTCCATGGGCCTTTCCGTACATTAACTGAAAGTGACTTGCTGCCAAGTTGATCAGGTAGTTGACCTTTTCAGTGTTCGCATGACCGCCTTCGTGCAGCTTGGCAAACTCAGCAGGGAGGGCATGGAAATCCTGGCAAGACTTCAGAGACTGGTACGGAATCGGATTGATATTTGACAATCAATGCGTCGATGGGACGTGAGAATGGAAAGGGACTTCTGCAACAGAGAGACGAAGTCGTCGCTCGTAATGATGGTCTTGATTCACATGTGCTCGGATTTCTGAGCTGCCGTCCCCTTGATGAAGTCGGGAGCTGTGACAATGGAATGCAGAATCCTCTCCGACGACAACAGCGTCTCGCAACAGCCTTTCATCGTTCCGCAACGTGTAGGAACCGGCCGGACCAATGCTCGAACGCCAGTGATCTTCTGTTCAGCCTGCAGTTGTGCCTTGAGAACGTGACTGTTGTGAAACAATTTGACTGTGTCCTTGCATCCCACGATGAACTCAAGCAGGTACTCGAAAGGATAGTCGATCAGATGTGTTCTGATTGGCCGGCTTTCATCATCTTCGTAGCAGACAATGTCCTTGACAAGCAAATGCAGACCATGCGACGTACAGCCTTGGAAATCGGATGGGTGAGCCTTCGAGAGCTGTTCCCATGCATTCTTGTTGGTGGATGTGTTGTCGGTGACCGCGCCAGCGAATATAGTCTTCGGATGAGACGCCATCACATGTTGAATATCCGAGGCGATCCAATCAGCGTTGTGGCCCTACTCTCCAGTGGAAACCGACTTGAGAAACAACGTTGTGGACGGCGATGTGACCACGTATTTCACAATCGGATCATTCTTGATGTTTGACCACGCATCAGATGTCAGGCAAACGGTCTTATTGTCCAGGACGTTGTCAACCTTCTTCATGTCGATGTACACCCTGTCAAGCAATGGTCCAGCCAGCCTCTTCCTGTTTGGCAGCATTGCTTTTGGGTGAAGGGCCTTTACAGCGATCACCGAGTTTTCCTCCTCGACCCGCTGGAACGACATGCCCAAGACAAAGTAATGCATTGCTATGGCCTGCTCGAACTTCTCCTTCGTTGGCTTATCGAGCTTGGGTATTAGGTGATGATCTTTGATCGATCCTTGCTTCGTCGACGAAGCATTCGATGTAGATGGAGTTCAGCTGCCGCTTGCCTTCAATGGCTTCGCCCACTTCTTGTTAGATGCATACCACTCGGGACAATCATCTACCTCAGTGCCATTCATCGCCCTCCGAAAAGCGGCGCATGCATTCAGGTGCCTCCGCCTGCTCACTCTTCTTGTGATGGTTGAATTTGGTGCGACAATATTTGCAGACGGCACTCTTTAACTTGTGCGGTTCCAGATCATCGGTGAAGGAGTGCCAAAACTGGCCCATCGAGCGTCTTCTGGCCTTCCCTGAGTTCGCCGACGCCTCGTCGGCCACTCCATCCTTCTCCGCGTCGGCCACTCCATCCTTCTCCGCGTCGGCCACTCCATTCTTCTCCATCACAAATATGACATCACTATCACATTCTTCGGAATCAAGTGAATCCTCATCCAGGTCCTGATCCATGATCCTACTCGCCGTGGAAATCGGGTTCGTTTGATGACACTAGTAACTCATGTAATGCTAAGATTTCTGATTTCCAGGCTCCGGCCTTCCGCAGTCCGTTACTTGAGTCAAGACTTCCTGCAAAAACCAAAATGGCGTTTTTTAATAATAAACCTCACCCTAACTGGCCCTTCGGGATATTGAGCTTTTTTATTTAAACCTTATCAAACCTCATTTTTTAAACCTCACCTTGCCACCCATGCTATTTGTGCCTTCCATGCAAAGCAAGCTATCGTAAATTGTCAGCTTTTCAACCTCTAAGCAGTTCCCCTTGCTTGCAGGTGTGCGGTCTATGCAAAGGCACAATGGTGGTGGCACCGTCTGGCATTAGGCATTCACTTCTTGTTGCTAAAGTTTACGGTTCGATTCCACTCGCCGTCCCTATTAATATATCGCGGGTGTAAATAAGCATCTTTAAAAAATCCACTCTAGGCCCCGCCCTTTCCTGCTTAGGCCCCACCCCCTTTCTCTTGAGGTTCCGGCCCCTCCCGCTTAGGCACCACCCTATAGTGGGGGGGGGGGGGGGGCTGTAGCAGGGCGGGGACTGTATGGGGGGGCAGGGACAGTAGGGGGGTCTGTAGGGAGGGTGGGGACTGTACGGGGGGCGGGGACAGTAGTGGGGGGGGGGGGACTGTAGGAGGGCGGGGACTATAGGGGGCGGAGACTGTAGGGAGGGCGGGGAATGTAGGGGGGGGCGGGGACAGTAGTGGGGGGGGACCCAACAACAACAATCGCCGCTATTCGCCACCACGGCGCTTGTGCCAGTCCAGGTGCACTGCGAGGCCACGTGAAGTGTCAAAGGGCTCGCTGACAAGAGGGGTCACGGCACAGACCCAGGTGCCATGGGTTTACTGACAGATGACTGGTAGATGCACCACATGTGCCCCCCCCCCTACTATGCCAACTTGTTGCGTTTACTCCGCTCGTTGTGAGCGTCGCTCCTCTGCCTTCCGCTGTTGTTGGAGGGCGAGTGCCTCTGCCCAGTAGCAGCGTCCTTCACGAGCTTCCTCCACAGTGGCCGATCTTGACACCGCTGGTACCAGGTCTTCGGAAAGTCCACTCGGCTCCACATCCTCCTGCCCGTGCCGCGTCAATTTATCCCCCTTCCACCCGGCCAAACAGAAGCTGCTTGGGCATGCAGTAGCTAGGAATGCCGTGGCTAGGCATGCGGACCACATGCAACAAACCAACGCAGCCTTGCCCGCCGGAGGAGCTCAATGATGGGAATGTGTCCAATACTGGTTACCAATCAAATACAGAATACACTTCAACATTCATTCTATAAGGATACAAAGCTTGATTTAAAGCTTTCGTGACTGCAGGAATCCATACTCTTTGTTTTTTTTTTCGGTAAAGTCACGTACAGTAGTTAGAAATGAATTAAAATAAAACAAATCACGACGTTTTTATGGATACAAATTGAGCAATCATTGGAAGGATGTTATTAACCAGGTAAAACCTTAACTGCTTTATGGTTGTGTCTATCATATCTGCCGGGTACTAGTCTATTTTTCCGAGTTAATTTCCCCCCCGCATCCCCAGCTTTCTCGACCTCCCACTTCCAGCACGAGGTTGTGTGCATCATACACGCAGTATTGTGGTGCCAAGTGACAACCAATGCATTTTGGAAGGCCGATCTCATGGCCACATTCACATCTACTGAGACAATGGACATCACTATTTGCGTCAATCATTCTGATGTACGTTTCCAGCCTGCAGACACTTTTATGTCGGATGTTATAATTTTTTTATTATTTTGCTGCTATAAAATATCACGTGATAAGCCACTTCGTTGAGCTATCATTTGTGCCCAGGTCTTCTGTAAAATAAGCTGATAGCTCAATGGGCTTTACCTGGTAAGATAAAACATTATTTTTTTATAATTGTTTAAGTGATTTGCTTACCTCTCCGATACTGAACACTCCTATCGTGTTTTGTATTGTCTGTTGTAACGTTCTGACCCGCCTCTACTGGACATCTATGAAAAATATTCTCATCTCAAATAATGTTCTCACCATTTTACAGAAAATGTCAGAATTGGTTTAATCTGTGCGTGTGTCTCTGTGTTGTGTATGTCCATAAATATCATCTGGCTAGCTCCATCAATTTCAATGAATGAGGAGCAATTTGCCACTTAGTCCACCAGTCTTGTCCTTTCAGTCCATCATAGCGATGTGTCTGCCCTGTCCAGGTCAAAATCCCTTTACAGGATATATGATAATTGCTCGTTTTTCTTATGCACGTTCTTTGTCTTCTTGTCGGTGTCAAAGCATGCGTCTCTGCACACTTCTTTCTGCACATTTCAGCTTGTCATCTCCATTCTGTTGGTGTCGCAGACGTGGAGAGGAAATGCTTCAAATGTTCTCTTTAAATATGATCAGACTCGGACTTTTTTTTTTAACTGGCAAGGCCCCCGTAGAGCTAGGGAACTGTGTGACTATATATTCTTGGTTCTTTCGGTAAAGTCAACGTGACTTTACCGAAAGAACCAAGAATATGAATCACTGCAGTCACGAAAGCTTTAAATCAAAATTGAACTCTGTGACTATGACAACCACCTCGCAGTGGTGACACTTCCATGACGACGACACCGCAGGGTGAGATTGTGCAAACTAACAATAGCAAAAACGACAAAATAATTACATGAAACCCACGCCAATAACTCACTGCGAACAGGATAAACAAGAGTGCTGAAACACAAATTCAAAAACGGTGTCTAAAAAACATTAGGTCACGAACATGCGTAAATTAAACGTTTATACAGCCTCAGCCATAATGGACCTTAGTCATAGCATTCATGGCAATTGTGGCAGAGGTAAAGTCATGTGCAAATCACCGTTCACTTTATTAAGCACATTTCTAGTGTTAGCCAATTGGTGACCATTTGTGGCCAGGTTGCTTTTGAAAAAGAGCTATATAGCTCAGCGGGCCTTACCTTGTAAAATAAAATAAAATTAGTTTAGTTTATTTGTAGAGGGCTCCCCTTTCGATGTATGAAATCCGAGTGAGATGACAGAAGAGATTGAAACAAAAAGAACATGCAGGTTTTAGTGAGATCATCGAAATGTTGACACGAATAGAGGTGCCACGAGATGAGTACAAAGATGCAGACAAGACGAAGACGCGGTAACACTTCGCGTTCTAAACGTTAATTTGCTGCTTATGTTTCTAAACATTTGACATTCAGCTAATCGTTTGTCCACTCCTATTTTTTCATGAAACCGAGGCCCCTTTGAGTTTCTTCTCTCTTGCTTGCTTTTCTCACCGCCTTTAAACGCCGCCTCTGACTAAACTGGGAACGCCCATTGCAAAAGCACGAGGCGAAATTGTTACACGCACAGCCACCGAGACTAACATGCCCCGCAAGTTGCCACAATTATCATCATCAGGTCGCTGCAGCAGAAAGCTCCAATAGAGAAAGGTGTGTGCGCGTTTATATAAATAGACATCTCTCTCTCTCTCTCGGACACATGAGCCGGCATTAACAATTCGGTTAGAATACACCGACGGGCTGGGGTTCGGTTTCCCAAGTCGCTTTGTATCGCCGAAAACAAAAACCCGTGTTCACCTGCGCGTCAAAATCGGCGAGGATTCCAGGTGGCTTTTGGCGCTGCCGTTTGCGCCGGCAGCAAATCGCTCTCCGAGTCATTTGCCTCCGGCCGATGAGCCCGGCCGTAATGCGCATCGGATGAGTTTGGTGAAGTCGGTTCAGCATACTTTCTTGGCAGCCTCGCAAGCCCCGTCGCGGTACATGAACGCGCGTGCAAGGGTGTGGAAGAATAAGTTGGCCGCTGCGATGTACGGCGCGACGAAGAAGCGACTCGCCAGCATGATTATCGTGGCGTTTGGAGCAAATTGCTTCTTCGTGCTGGTGCTCTACACGAAGGCGCACGAGCAGGTGATGACGTTCATTCGGGCTCAGACTCATCAGCTGCAGCTGCTGGAACATGCGTCTCAAGGTCTCACGGAGCAACACGCCGTTCCCGGATTTCGACAGTTCCCGATCCCTCTCCAAGCGCCAAGACAGGTTACCTGCTCGGACCGACCCGCACACCTGTGTGAGTGTATGTGTGTGTGGGGGGAGCCGTGGTGGAACGATGACGGGTGTTGAACTTCGTTTGCGCCGTGCGTAAAGCAGTCGTGCTCGTCGTAGGTGCAGGATGCGCTGCCCGCGCTGAGAAACCCCCGGTGAGCAGAATTCGATTCCGGCTCACGGCCGGCACCGGTGACGATCATCTGAACTGGTCCTGAGCCACCCCTAGGTTGACTCGGCCTCAAATGAGTATCTGGTTGCGGGGTGTAAAGATCGCCACTAGGGAGACAAAGGTGACCGGGTGCAGTGCTGGCCACCCACCCCCTCGTGCGCCGTGCCATTCGAAGGTGCTCACTAAACATCACTTTCCCCTACAGTCTGTCGCAGGCTATATGGGGTATCCTCGTCTTGCGTATACGAGGCATCCTCTGATTGTGTCGGTGTGTGTGTATAGGGTCGACGCGACCATAAAATCATTACCCCGTACGCTATGTAAACATCAGCTTTGGGACTACGAATGCAGCCTGGCGTGGTGCCGGCCACCCACCCCGAGTGTGACCTATGGGTCTCAACAGGTGCTCGCTAACAGGACACTCGTCTCAATAGCAGGGGATGTTTATCTCTTGTCTTTATTGTGTGGGGAGCGGTGGCGCAATGGTGAGCGCACAGCATTAGATAGATACTGCACATTACATTGACTGTGAAGGAAAGTCAGTGGGCTTAGGCCGGGATACATAGCTAGAAGCGATGATGGTCAAGATCGAGGCTCGTGACGGATCGGTACCCAAAGAATCAGAATGTGTATTTATACCGGAGGAATCCGATGAGCTATGAAGCTCTTTTTCACAAACGCGCCCAACAGGACGACCACCTCGGAGATGGAGGCATAAGATCATATCACGCACAGGAGCGAGATTGACTTTGTTAATATGGATTGTTAAGAAGATTTATTTTGTTAAGATCCAAATGTGAGAGTCCTAACATTTGCATGTGAACACAAAGTAATTTGTCGCTTGTAACGCAAGATCATGTAACAATAAACACAACATATTCGTCCATGGGTACATCACAGTTAGTTGATCAGCGGGTCGCGTGTGGTGGGGTAAAGTGTGGGTGCACACACCTCTTCCAAGACGTTTGTCCAGAGTACTATATCGTAGGTCAATCCATAGACTAAAAACTAAACAATTTTTTTTTATTTTATCAGGTAAAGCCCATTGAGCTGTATAGTGTATAGTAGGGCTGAACGATTAATCGATTTCAAATTGAAATCGCAATTTGAAACAATGCGATTAGCAAATCGCAAAGGCTGCGATTTTTTTGCGATTTGAAAAGTCCTATTAATTTCTTATTGGAATTATTTTATTTTTAATTATTATAACTTTATTTATTTAACTTAACAATTGTTCTATGTTTGATTGTTCTATTTCAATTAAAACATTTTAATAAATACATGTTGGAAGCAATTCATATATTTTAAGTTCTCATCCTTGCACTAGAATATATAGAGCAGTTCATATATATGATGGTATCACGTGGTAATGCTCCATCACATGTTTTAAATATATTACACAGTGAATATTGAACCGAAGCTTGACTTAAAAAAATAATAATCGCAAATTAAATCGTAATATATGTCAGAAAAATCGCAATTAGATATTTTCCCAAAATCGTTCAGCTGTTTTTCAGAAGCGACATAGGCACAAATGATAGCTCAACGAAATTTCTTCTCATGTGGAAATTTATAGCAGCCAAAAACTCTAAACGCATGTTGCTAAATGTGAAAGGGGAAATCCGGAGGACCTGGAGAAAATCCACACGGCCACGGGGAGAACATGCAAGCCCCATATATACAGGTGTCAGGGTTGGGATCGAACACCACGACCTCCTGTATGCCAAGCGAGGTAGTTAACATCTCGCCACCGATATGTTATCTCCAGAGCACTGGAGCTTCCTCGATTGGAGGCTCTTCTGCCAGCAGTGTCATACGCAAATAATTGCAGGGCAGCACCTTTACCGTTGTTTCAATCTTTTTACATAGGCACAGACCAATACATCTGTGTGTTTGTCTTTCTCTCCTGACAGTGGGGGCGATGAATGTTTCATTTGTGAAGACGCCGCAGAGTCTGGAAGCGATAGAGAAATCAAACCCGAATGTGGAGCTGGGCGGCCAGTTCCACCCTTCGGACTGTATCCCCAGCCAGAAGGTGGCCATCATCGTCCCCTTCCGGCACCGAGATGAACACCTCAAGCACTGGCTGTACTACCTGCACCCGATACTCCAGCGTCAGCGCGTAGAGTACGGTGTCTACATCGTCAACCAGGTACACGAGATGTAGTCAACATTCAATTGCCCACTTTCCTCCGTCCAGCTGATTCAATTGCTCGCTCTGCTTTTAGTTGAGTCGCTTGGTCACTGTTAGAAAGAAAACAACAATTGCCCTCTTCACAGACCGGTGTTAGAGAACGGTTCCTCGAAGGACATATCTCAGTATCTCTGTAAGGGATCTCTTTGACATTGAGGACGGCACTTTGTCACCCACCTTGATACATAGAGACATGGTCATCACGTTCTAGTCAAGCCACGATATTTCATGATCAGAGCTGGAATTTTAATCAAGTCTCTTTTTTTGACCGTGCTAAGATAAAAATCCGGTTTAATTCATGGGTGACTGATACCTAGATTCAAATCCAGCGTCTCAGTGGTGCAAGCTCAGCGCTCTGACCTCTGAGCACTAAGCTTATAAATTGGTCATTCTAATGTGGAGGTGTTTCACTAAAATAAAATATGATCAAGGAAGACAATCATTCATATGCATGGATTATGCAATACTTTCCAACGAAATGGGGTTGTCCTTTTAAGCATTTCATTCGCAGGAGGGAAGGTCAGGACAAAATAAATTTGCATATTTGCAAATGGTCCTTTTGGTTTGCGTCTCCGTGTTTGGGGGAAACCCTTTGATCACTTTGGCCAGTTTTCAATCGGGCAAGTCTCTAACAGCAAGACAACTTCATACTAAAGTCTTGCTCATTGGATCATAGTTACGAGCACTGTTTTGACCACACGTTTCAGACTGACGTGCAGACAGACAAAGCTCATGAATTTACGCTTTAAACCTCGATTCTAAAGCTACAGTCTTAAACCACAAATTGTAACGCTATAGTCTTAAAAGCTGAGTTGCAAGGCATGCATTTTCTGGAAAACTGGATCATTGGCATGTGGTGGCTGCAGTTTGGAGAGGGGGTGTTCAACCGAGCCAAGCTCATGAACATTGGCTACGTGGAGGCCCTCAAGGACGCCCCCTACGACTGTTTCATCTTCAGCGACGTCGACCTGGTGCCCATGGACGACCGCAACCTCTACCGCTGCTACGACAACCCCCGGCACTTCTCCGTCGCTGTCGATAAGTTCAACTTCAGGTACGTGTGCCGCACGAGCCTCCACGTTTGTGCCAATCATAGCCTCTCTCGACCGGAACTTTCGCGCAACAGTTCATCTCAATCCATTGCAGTCCGACTCCAGTGCCTTCGTGACCCACTTTGGGCCGGCTGAGCCACGTGTCAAGCATTCACAGATATTGGCGTGAAAATGTACAGAGTTTATTCGACTGTGTAGGGCAAGCACTTAAGTAGGCTTTGCTTCATGTGTTGGGGTTTGCATTAATGGTGGCCCCAGACTTAATGGATTGCATGGGCCACCATATTTTAGGGAGGTTTTTGTGTTTTTTCTGAATAGCTCTGAATGGTGCTGAATAGTTCCCCAACGAAGTTCCTAGCACGTGGATTAAAACGTCGAATATCGTGCCGAACAACACACTGTAGTACGACCCGAAGACACATGGAAGAAGAGCTTTATACGGGGGTTTCTTCAACGCCTGTTAGCTAAGGTCAGGCACGGTGGCACACATCTGTGGTCCTCCGTTGTTGGGTCATGCTCAGATGGAGTCATTGTGCGTAAGAGACGCTTAATCGTGGCACCGAGAGAATTGGGGAGAAGCGTGAAAAATCCCTTCATTTGTTTTAAAATCTGTTGTGAAACGAAATTAAAACTGATTGTTCAATTATTTTCGAACAGCCAACTCTGCACGTGTACATTAACCTTGCCGTTTTCATTTCAAAGAGTAGCGTCTTCGCATATTTAACCATCATAATCATACACAATTAAAGGATTTAACGAAAAATAAAATTGGTGGGAATGGACATGGCTAATTGACAATACATTTTAATTGCATGTATGACATGCCCTTTCATAGTTTTACTGTGTAATTGGCTGCATGGATTCCTGTAAACATTTTTTAAGGTATTAACAGTCAATATGTGTTCTAGTAAATGAAGTGTATTTTTACACTGCCACTGTAATGTTTGGGCAAAAGTATAAAAAGGTAGAAGTTACGTTTTCTGAAATAATGTGGACCAAAAGTTGAAAAGTGTGCACAGAAGCATGGAGAGATGCATGCTTGAAATTACACTGAGAGTCAGAAAGAGGGAACACGTTGATCAGGGAACAAATTAAAATCAGAGATGTCACGTTGACTGTTCATAAACGTAAGTGGGCATTTAAAAGGACACCTCACATTGAAAGAATGATGGCCAATGGACAACACCTGGAATGGAATAACAGCCGAAGGAGAGAATGCACACGAGAGGTTAACCGCCGATGAAGTGGAGTGATGAGATCGGTCCCTTTGCAGGAGTGGGGATGGATTGTCGCATCGCATCACCGTGAAGGACGGTGGATTTACACCGGCTGAGGGTGATAACAGTGATAAATGGTTCATCTCAGGAATTTGTTTCCTGTACGAGAGGCAAGTTTGGTTTTAAATGGGTCCTTTCTGCAATGATATTCTGAATCAATGTTCCCAATGAACGTTGATGTTGCATTTTACCCAAATTAAACAGTAACAAATATCTTTAATGTATATTAAATAATGACCTCAATATTTTTTTTTTAAATTGACCAATTAATGCATCGATACATGCAGGCTATGCATGCTCATAATGTTCTTCAGCCATGCGTCTTATCCTCTGCTAGATAAAGGCCTCCCTATGCCATGACCATTCCTCAGGGTCAAATGCCACTACCGCCCATCCCCGCACACAGACTGATCTCATCGCTCCGTCTCTGCTGTGGTCGTCGTCTTCAATGTGTTCTCTCCTTTGGCCGTGCGTGATCGACTCATTTATCTCACGAGCCCTCGATGGCGTTAAGGCTGATTGCACGTGATTAAATTGACTGTTATTTTCAAATGCATATTTTTACGCAGACACATTTTGAGCACACTTGCATTATGCACCTACTTTGTAAACGTCTATAGACCTCAAGTTTAGATTTCTGGCCACAGCTAACATCAGTGGTGATTGGGATCTGAAACGGGTCATGAGCCACTTCTTCACCAACTCATGTTGACCAGTGCGGTGAAGTATGGTCAAAATGACCTGACACGTTGCAGCAGATTCACAAAGGACTAGTTAATGTTACGTAAGCAATACAGTATATATCATTAATAACTTTGTTGCAAGCTTTAAATGTGCTACATAATGCTTTTCCCAAATCACCCAGAATGCACCCACGCCTAAATTACTTCTGGAGCTAAGCAGGCTTTGTGCCTGGAAAGTGTTTGAATGGGCGACCACCAAGCACAAAACACAGGCATAGAAGGCCATGTGGGCATTTGAGGGCAGTACAGCAAATCCATTATTGTTCTGCACTCCCCCCCCCCCCGACTTTTAACCAACCCTCACTGACCAGTGTGGTGAAGTATGGTCAATTTGCCTCCACCTCCTGCATGGTGGATCGACAGGTGGGCCTGTAGATGTGCATGCATGCTACTTAATGCTACGTTTCTGCAACGTATGAGACCCAACCCAAAAACGTCACAAACTAAACTTCAAAAGAAAAAAAAACAGAGGTAGAAAAAAATCCTGTTCTACGGCAGTCTGTGTTCAAAATAGCCAAAGGCTTGACAACACGGCAGAGTAAATGTCCCTCTCTAATTGCGTCTGTCGACGAAGCACATTCCAGTCATTTTCTGTTGCTAAAGCATGGAGCCCTGTGTAAGTAACCGCGAAGCTAACGTCTCGGCAGTTAACGAAATAATGTTCATCATGCAGCCCTGTTGTCAATGCACCGTGTTGTCGATGTGATCCAAGTGATAAAGTGTGCCAATGCACTGGCCAATTGAGAACGCACGCATGTTGCGATGGAGCCACGGGGGACATGTAAAGGTGTGAGACCGACACCCCGAAAACATTTAATCGCAGCTCTCATTTCAAAGAGGCCCCCTGGTCTCAATACACTGTTGGATGACGGCCTCCTCCCACCGTGTGGGTCAAGGAGGAGTCATTTTGACCATACTTCAACACGCTGCGTCAAATGCAAGTTGGTGACAGTGGGAAACATGCACACAGTACAGTACAACAATGGATATCGCTACATTGCCATCTGCTTCCCACAGTGTTGCCCCGCAGCAGACTATAGGGACCTGCTATGCATGGTGGTCTCCCGTCAAAGCATGATCAAAGCTCAACCCTGCTGAGCTTCTGCGATCTCACTGCTGATTTAGTCATAAGCATAACTGGTAAATATGGAGCTTAAAAAAACCTCAATGGCATTATTTGTATTCTTGTTCTTGTCAAAAAGGATTTTAGGAATTAGGGATAGCAATATCAAGCTATTTTGTGCATGATGAAATATGTTGGGGGTGGAGTTGTGTAACAGTGGTTAGCACATTGTGCTTTATGCTCTGCGACCTGAGTTTGATTCCTGGCCACGGTTAACATGAGTGGCGAGTGATACCTGAATCATTTCTGCCTTGCTTCACCAACGTGAGCTGACCAACATTGTTGTTTCAATACGAGCCACATTTTAAGGAATGTAATGATTGTGTTTTGTGTGCAGTCTCCCGTACAAAGAGTGCTTTGGCGGAGTGTCTGGCCTCACTAAAAAACAATTTGAGAAGATAAATGGCTTTCCCAACAATTACTGGGGCTGGGGAGGAGAGGATGACGACATCTATAATAGGTGAGAGTGGACGCACCGGAGTTTTGAAACACCACACTTGTGTCTCATTCACACGTCACAATGCTAAAACTCTTTCCTTTCAATTAATCTTTGTTTTTTTTCGGTAAAGTCACGTATAAATAAGAAATAATAAAATAACATAATAGCGTACGACGTTTCGGTTGCAACACAAGCAGCCATCATCAGCTACAGAAGAGCTAAATTTCTGAGAGAGGGGAAACACATAACCCAGATGTATACACAGACACCCAAGTAGGGGGAACCAACACCGACACAATAGGGGACACAGAGAGAGAAGCATACCAAACATGGGCTCAACATTTACATAATTATAATGTATAAGAACACTCGTACAAACACTCAATTCATTGTCAAAGTTATTAGGATAACAAATTGCACATATATAAAGCCGTTTGCCCAAAGAACCACTCATTGCAAGGTGGCTTTTAATGCTATAAGCAACATTTCCATATATCATCACAGCCTGCTCGACAAATTATCGTGCAGGGATCAACGACACACCACACTTCCCCTTCTCATTAGCCGTGCCAGTTAAGAACATTCCATAACAAAGAGACACATTCTGAGGCCTGACTTAAAACAAAAGAAGGTCATGGCCAAAGTTTTCATGTAAAATGGCTCAATGATGTTTGAGATAATTTATATCAAAAGTTCTCTCTCAGCAGAGTTTTCTGCGAATTGATGTACTGGTTCGTCCACTCGATTTCTCAACCCAGATGTCGCTGGCTCTATTTGTTCTCACGGCACAGCAGTTGAACCGATGGTGCAAGTTATCCTAAATCCCCCAAACTCTGTCCACCCAGCAGTACGCATGGGTGCACCAAATTTTTCCGATCAGAAGGTCGCCTGTAGTGGTGGCGGTTTAAAGTGTGGGTACTCCTACCTCTTCCAAGACGTCTGTCTGGTGTGTAAAGAGTGGGTCGATTTCACTCCATCGAGACTCCCTGGAACTCCACATAGTTGAGACCCTTTTGCAGCAGCAGCGGCGACATGAGTCACCAAATGCAGAGCTGCAACTTTAACTTTGACCTCTATCCATGGCACCAGCCGCACAACTTGGCAGGGCTTCCAAGCGATGTGCGCACCACAATGCACAATACGGGTTCAGAATCAGAATATGTATTTAGACTGCAGGAGAAATCCGATGAGCTATAAAGCTCTTTTTCACAGATGTCCAGTAGGGGCGGGTGAGAACGTTGCAACAACAGACAGTACAAAAACACGAGGGGAGTGTGCAGTAGAGGAAAGGTAAACAAATCGCTTAAACAAAAATATACAAATAAACTAAACTATTTTCATTTCAGAGTAAATTCCCACTGAACTATTCACTTGTGTTTTTTTTAGAAACAACCTGGCCACGAATGATAGCTCGACAAAGTGGCCTATCACGTGGATATTTATAGCCGCATACATAATTTAATTAATCAACATTTTATCCAAATTTATATTCTTGAGATTATTTTGTTCATGTCATGGACCCCCTGCGAAAAGCAGGTGTGCATTCCACGTATTTTGTGAAACATCAGCATGGAGAAATTGGTAACATTGACAATGGACTTTTACTAACGCTAGATGCAATTCTACCAAGCATTTGGTGTTTTATTAAATGCCGGTCGTTGTATTAAGCATGATAAATTGTTCACGGTTGATCATAATGATTAGAATTTAATACTCTGGGCAGGTGTATTTTTTTGGCTATGAATTCAGGTGAGTCTGTAGTGCCAGGACGTGGGGATACCGTGGGAGAATGGCTTGGCAAAGGGAATTTATTATGGAGGAAATTGCGATATTCACAAACAATTCTGCAAAGACGATATATACAGCAATGTGAGGGGCTGTTATTGTGTGTAATGCTGACATGTAAAGCTGTGAAGCTGCGTTGTGCGCTAGGATCAGAAAAGTGGGAATGAACATCTCACGTCCTGACATGACGATTGGGAGGTACAGAATGATTCGACACAATCGAGACGCTCACAATGAAAACAACCCATTCCGGTGAGTCTCCCTTTACACGACGCACAATATCTGCATGCAGGGCAATAATCATTCGGGCATTTATATATATGAAAAAAATACCGCCAGTGTGACTATATAGACAGGTACATAACTGTAGTTTCTGTCAGAGCTTTTTGGTCAATAGTGGGGTGGGTACAAGCTGAAATCTGTGCGTTCCCGTCGGGCAAATTCCAGATCTCACACGGACACACGCTGAACACATTTTTGCAGCAACAATCTGGGAGTGTCTTGAATACATCTAAAGCAGTTTGATCAGTGCCAGAGTGCACACTTTGCTAAACAGGAACGTGTGCGTATGTATGTTGAACTTCTTTTCGCACCGTACGTAGCCAACCGTGGTAATCGGAGGTGTGCGCACTTACATACAGCCTGTTTGGCAATCCACAACTGGATGAAAGGAAATTGGTATCCCTTAAAGTTCCTCATCTCTCGTGGAACCGAAGTCTACCGTGGTCCATGTGCCATGTGCTGGGATGCAGAAACGATTTGTGCCACTGATGACATAGCCACCTCTTCACGTATGTACATGTGAAGTCCTATGTCAATCCGCCGCTTCGATGAGGGGCTATCCATGCCCGTGTGGACCGGGAGAGCTATTTTACTATATCTGGTAAAGCCAAGAAGCATAGACGTTGGAGCCATAATGCGGTACAACAACCCACGCGTCCGCTGAACGTCCGGCAAACGTCACGATAACAAACACTCTTTGGGTCTTTCGAACAGAGTCACGCGGATAGGTATAAATTAATAAAAGCAACAAATATTAAATGAACAAAAAACGTCGACGTTTCGATCACAACACAAGCGATCGTGATCAGGAGGAAAGAGGCGGGAAGCTGCTGAATACAGACTGTTGTATAGGTTTAAAACGGGTGTAGTCCTAGTGTCACGATAACAAAATATACCGCAAACAACGAAGGTGCTCGTCATTGCAATGGATTACATTTTAAAGTTTTACTTCCGCAGGCCGATTCGAATTGGAAGGCGCTCTCTCAAAAGCAGGGCCGTTTCAACAGTCAATTTTTGCCACTTCCATTTCTCATACGTGGCCTTTAAATGCATTGTTTGGTGCTGACCTCATAATGCCTAAGGCCACCGCTGAGGTCATGTTGATCAATCCCGTAGCAGCTGTGGGGTGGGCTGGGCAGGCGGGGGTGTGGTGGGTGGGTGGTTCGGGTTGGGCGGCAGCCCCGGGCACCCCTCCTGGGGGGTGGCGTCGCCCAAATTTTTCGGTGAATCGATGAAGGCAAGCAGCGACGACTGGTGGCTCATGTTTTCGATGGGGGTGGTGCCCTCGCTGCTGTAGCAGCTGCGGGGGGAGGGGGGGACGCAAGGATGGCACCATGCTTTGCTCTCGCACCATGCGCCGAAAAACGTCTGTCTGCTCCCCTGATGTCGTTATCTGCCCATGACCCCTGCACACAGGAGTTGGCAAATCACCAAGACGGCCTTTACCATGTGGAGGGACGGCATCAACACCCTGGAGTACAAGCTCATTAAGGCGGAGCGATGGCCCCTGTACACCAAGGTGATCGTGGAGGTGGGCAAGCGGTCGCCGGGTAATCAAGTGTGGGCGCACCGCAACAAGCGACAAGGCCACTGAGCGTCCAAGCCATTCTGTATCAGAGGGCACAGCTTCCTCCTGGGGGCAGACAGAGGCTGGCAGTGTGGGGCGGTCCTTCAATCGACGACCGACTGTTCTGTCATTCACGCTGATGCGTTTTTTTTTTAACTGGTGCTTTTAAAAAAAAATTCAACGATACGCTGCACTGCGCCAACACTTGTATTCATGACCACTGACAAGCATAGCGACAGCGAGGGACAGAGATTCATGAGTTAGTGAGCACACATCCAGGGCTAAGCGCACGGTGCAATCTGCACGTCGCCAATTCTATCTCCCAGTGCGGCAGTTGAAACAATGAGCACATTTTTTTTTAAATCCCCCTCTCCCCCCCCCCCCAGGCCCACCGCCCTTCCCCCACCGGGCGTGTGTGGTGGGGTAAAGTGTTGGTACTTCCACCTCTTTCAAGACACGTAGTCAGAAATGGCGTGATGGAACCGTTTCTGGATGGCACCTTTACATCTAGCTTTACCCAGGGGTGATTAAAATGCCTGCACTTAGTCAAACTGTTCAAAGTATCCTGCCTATATTATGCTATGGACTGCAATAAACTTAGTAAGTGTAGTTGGCAATTAATAGAAAATCATCCATTTTAAATCTAGATTGAAAACTCAATTCTTTAGAACTGCCTTTTGCGTTTAGCTTGGATTTCTTCCCCCTGCACCTACGAATAGGACAGTTGGCTACGTACGGTGCTAAAGCAGTTCATTGTGCATACAAAGAACGAGCAGGGCTTGTAGTCGACCCTTGCTTTAATTGTTAGCCAGTGCACTTTGTCACAATGTTCGTCGAATTGAGGACAGACCAGAGTGGATGCAGATTGACGGCACCGCGCGCAGCTGAAGACACTGGTAACAGGAGTGCACAAGGTTGGTGATGGACGCGTGGACTGGTGTCTTGGCTGCATCGAAAGTCAATGAACGACGTGTCGTGAGCAGCAGCCACCGTAGTTGGTAACAGCGCCTGCCAGACAAATGTTGCATGCGTGCAGCGAATGTCGCTTCAGGAACAAGATTGACTCCCAGGCGCATGATGGCAGCAGACAGTGGGATGGCTCTGTGTGCCTCTCGGGGTGATAACCCGAAAACAGAACTTTGACAAGTTGCTACTTGATACTAGGCCGGACGAATTTGCTCTTCTCAGCATTTAACTTTAGCCGATGCGATGACATCCACTGGTTCGATGTTGTCAATGCACGAGCTAAGGTGAGGTAACGATGCGACACATGAAGCGGCTTTATCAGGAAATGTAAAGCCACCCGATGTCAGCATTTCGAGTGTAATACCAAGACCGTCTCGCCGAGCGACTCGAGATGTCAGCCTTGCAAAGTATAAACAGTGCTGGACCTGCAACACTTCGTTGCAGTGCTGACCAGCAAAGCCTGCAGTCCGCGTCTGGTGCCAGAGGAAAAGAATCGATCTACGATGGCGTGAAGACGAGTTGACGAAGATTGTGAGGTCGACCGCATAAAAAAAACAGCGGACATGTCTAAACTATTGAACTGAACAATTTTTTTCTTTTGAGCGGGTAAGGCCCACTCAGCTATATAGCTGTTTTTTTCAGCAGCGACCTGGCTATCACAAATGATAGCTCAACAAAGTCGGTTATCGCGTGGAAATTTGTAGCAGCCAAATACTCCAAACACACGTTGATTCTAAATGTGGAGGGAAAAGCCGGAGAAAAATCCACGCGACCACGGGGAGAACGTACAATCTCCAAATATACAGGCATCAGGGTGGGGATCAAATCCACGACCTCATGTATACCAGCCAAGGAAGTTTACATCTCGCAAACCGCAGCACCCACAAGTCGACCAAGTGAATAAATGAAGATTCTGATTCTGAAGTAGTTTTACGTCGCCACGATTGGCTAACAGAGAATCTGAGACTCGAGTAGTCTCTGTTGAGTGGTGCTCCTTGTAGGCAGATTTTGAAGCTGTAAACAGGTTGTGTTGTTCAAGGAATGTCACGAGCTGATGGGGATACCAACTTCTCAACAACCCCAGACGTGAACGCGAGGTTGGTGATTGGTCTGCAGTTTCCATGTGTCGGTTGGACCAGCATTTGCCTTTTACTCTTTGGTTCTTTCGGTAAAGTCGCGTAGAAAATAAATTCAAATAATAATGTTTTCTACGTGACTTTACCGAAAGAACCAAAGAGTGTGGATTCCTGCAGTCACGAAAAGCTTCGAATCTAATTTGCCTTTTTGTGACGTGGTGTAACGACGGCGTGGCGTTTATTCGCGGGCGGGGAGCCATGCTTGGGTTACGCGGCGCACATGTCCACTTAAGTGCGAGAATCTCGGGGAGAAACTCCTGGGCTGTTTGTGGGGAATAGAAGTATACTGACAAATCCCTGAAATTTCAATGCTTTAGTACATTTTAAAATGCTGTAGTAGTAAAATAACAAAAATTACTACCGCCCTCGTACGCTTTTTAATTAATACACCCCGGGATTTTAGCGACCCAAGTTGGATCTCACGTCATGCCTGACATCATTGACGAGTGATATCTGAAGAGATCCTGGGGTGTCCTCACCCAGCCGTCCCTCTTTCACCCACCCATCATGACCGGTGTGGTCAAGTATTGGCCAAACAAAAGTGCCACAAATGATTATTTTAAGTACAGGCGTGTCTCACTTAACGAGCATTCGAAGATAATCATCCGTAACGTGCAATTAGAATTTAGACCAATTTGTTCGCAAAACGAGCAATCGTTCGCTTAACGAGCGGAGACTGATCGATCGAATGCGTTCCGTGGCGGCAAGGGGGCATTACCGCAGCCCGCAGCTATTTGTTTACCAGCTGTGTTGTACTTTTTGCAGGCGTGATTCGTCGTGTGGGGGAGGGGGGCCGCGTGGTAGCACTGCAATGGTTGGGTGGAGGAGCTAATTCATTGGAGACACTGAGCACAGGCACACCTGCAAGCACTATGGTTATTAATGTGTGGTAAGTGTTAGATTTGCTGGTTTTATTTCTTTACTTTAAAATTGTGATTAGTATTTCTCACGTTAGAAAACTGTTCAAAAGTGGTACATTTTGAGGCTGAAACGTAACTTATCTTTTAACATGGGAGTCAATGGGAAAACGATGATCGTTTAATGAGCTTTCTCTTAAAGAGCAATTTTCGCTGAACGTAGCTCCGTTCTGACGTAAAATTGGAAATTCAAATACAGCAATCATTTCTGTTATTCTATTCAACGTTTTAATAATGTATGGCCTTGGGATACATTGCATTAATTGAGAAAGCTCTTCGTGTTTTGCATGTTGGTATATTACTAGCTTGTGGAAGCAAGATAATTTGTTTTATTTCACTTTGTTTACATGATTTTTAAATGACAGTAACAACATAGAAATCATCAGCTCATGTCCGTATCATTTTGGGAAAACAACAACATTATATTAACTGGAAAAAAGCTTTTCAAATGATTTTATTCTTCGACGGTTAAGTTGCTCACATCTTGTTAATGACAACGCTGTACTACACAAGCAATACATTTGCACGTGTGTACATCTGCAAATGCCAGGTTTACATGAAAAATGTGTATATATTGATAAGCAGAGAAAGCAATGTAAAAGAATTTTGACAATAAGGTGACTAGGTATCCTTCCAATTTATTGACAGGTTTTTACAATTGGACATGCACTATGTCAAAGTAAAAAAAAAATGAATAAATAAGATAAAAGAATATTAAAACCATATGATGCTCGATTGATTAACTACGTACACACGATTTGCTGTGCCACATCACAACAAAACCTATACGTGTGTTCTTGCAATACATTCTGTGTAACCTTGGACACATGTAAAAGCAAACATTAAACGGTTGACAGTTAACGTTTTTGCCCACAGACATTTCTGGGCACAACTTTTTCCGTAACTTCTGGCCAGTGTGATATTGATCAAAGAGCCCATTTTTCATTATCACCATATGTAGGGCTTAATGCTTTATTTATTTTTTGCACTTGTTGAATGTCAAACTAAAAACAAACGTGTTATAAACTGTGCTTTTGGGTTGTACAACGTGTAGTTCGGCATTATGTCGGACGTTTCGCTGCACTGAATTTAATGCAATACGTGTAGAAGCTCCTTGAGCGTGGAGTGAAACGTCGGACCACATACCAAAGAACACACGGTAACAACCCAGAATACTTTGGAGAGCTACCCTGCCCAGCCGCAGGAGCGACCTGCACCGGAGTTCATATCTAAAATTGCCCTTCTGTTCAACCAATGGCGTAAATTTTTAGAAAGTAAATTATAATAATTTAACTGCCACTGCAAGAGCAAAAAAATTAGAAAAAAGTAATTATCTGAGCTCTGCATCAGAGCTGCGTTTAGAGTTTATGTTGCAGGCATTCTATTACAGTGAAGTTTGTCGGCAATTTGAAAAAAGAAAGTTAAGTATTTATGCAAAGCATACTTTACCGTGACACAATCATTACAAAATGTGCCGTTTAATAAGGGCTGCGATCGCGTAAAGTACAAAGAGTCGTCAAGCTCACGCTTGCATGGGTGAAAACGATTGCGTGTGTGTAAAAGCACAGAAAATAAACTTTTTGCGGATTCCCGAAGGTATACCAAGTGGCTCGTACGTTTTTGGGGATCCTTGTCTGATGCCAAGCAACGCTTCAAGGGGCACGTGAAACGATGATGAAGATGATGGCAATAATAATAATATATTGTCTATTACTGTTAATTCAATCTCTAAAATCGTAATATTAAAGCAACTGAGGAATGTGGAGTGTGCCCGGGTATTCATCTTAAAGCCGACCATGGCATTTCTTTTTAAAGAGTTTAGTTTCACGTAATTACATTTTGCCCATTAGTGGTAACACAGGATCACGTCGTCATCATTGTCATCATAGTCGTGATGTTCTATACTAAATAATATTGCGCTTGTGGAACGAATTGCCTCAAACTCCCTGAACATTCTAAAAGTCATCGTTGACATTTGAGAAACTCAAAAGTCATTTCGTATCGGGCCTTGAACCAATAACTCATATCGAAAACTGAATCTTGCTGGCTACTTGTTCGACTACAAGATGGTCAGGTGATAGCGTTATTGCAAATAGATTATTAAATCCATCTGTGCAGAGCTTTTTAGTGGTACCCCCTCATGTGTGGGAGTTTTCTCCTGCTACTCTGATTTCCTCGCACATGCCTCTCAATCATGGAATTCCCAAACTTCCCAAAAATGGATTTTAATAAACTATCAGAATTTATTTGCAATAGGCAGATTGGGTAAATGCCACAGTTAAATGAAATTATGGCATTGCTGCTGTCCCTGAAATGTAGTGTACCATGCGAAGGAAGGGTGCACATTTGTAAAGTGTGGTTGACACAAAAAATATCGCAACCTAGTTTTAACACATCTGATGAAAATTGTCCGTGCTCCGGAGTAAATCACTTGTGCGCAGGGCTTACTGAATAGTTTTGCCGGTAGACTAGAGTAGGCACGCAACTAATATCCACAATCGCAGCGGGAGATATACCGCTGAAATGAAGCCCTGCCAGTAAGCATTTATCAGCTGGCTGTGAGTATATATACTTCCATATTTAAATTTGGCGTGCGTGAATTATTCATTTTGAACATTCCACACCTAAGATGTGTGCTGTGTGATTTTACCAGACTCCCTTGCAGGCTGGTGTGCTCAATAATTGCCCGCTGGCAAGTCGACCTCGTCGGCGTTTGTCTTACTGCTCATCACCCATCACAGGTCGTCGTCAACGTTAGTTACACTCCTCTAAAATTTATATCGGCATCGTTGCACTGTCACAATGATGCCATCGTCATGGACAACAACAACAACAAAAAAGACTATATCTTAAATTGAAAAAATACCGACAAGTTCTTTGTGATATTTTTCCACTGATGATGGAGAGACGTGGGCACCCATACCCACGAGGTAGGTGGTGCAGTATTTTGCACGGCTCAATGTCGCATGAATGGATATCATAAAATGTCAATTGAACGTTCACCCTTTCTTCCCCACCCCATCACATACGTGTATTACTGAGTAGCGAAACTTTGGGGCTAATGATATGAAGTGATAGGCAACTAAGCCATTAAAATAATCATATATGTTGAACTTTCGCACCATACATTGCCAAATGTGCTGATCGGATGTGCGGAACAATGCGTCGCAAGGTGGTCGGGCGGTGGGACAGAAGTTATGTTTAGGAAACGGTGGCACGTGTGGCTCTAATTGGTGGGTTAATACGGTAGCTGGAAAATGCCACCTTTGCTTTTCCAGCATCAGTTGTTTATGGGCCAAGTGCTTTCCTGGAACATTTTGGAATGCGGAGGCAATAGCTTCATCAGAGCTTCTTCCGGGAGGTAGCAATGAAGTCCACTCAGCTTTTCTGCAGTGAGCATCCAACTCACAATCCATCTCACAATCAAGGCGATGAGTTCACACCCGAGTCTGGGATCAATTTAGCCCCTCATCTCTGCAAGCACAATAAAACGAGGATCCCATTATAGATAGCGGTTGCCTTCGAGAGGACTGGCTCCCCACCATGGGGAATGGGGAGTGTTCACCGCTGACTCAACGGAGGTGAGCACCACAGCGGCAGCCTTGACAATCGGCCACGAGTTTCTACATTACCGCAAAGTTCCCGATTATAAATTCATCACTTGCAACCTGAAACTGGGAACGCGAAAAAAAAAACGCCCAAAGGTAGAGTGTTTTTTTTTTTTGCGGTAGAGGCGGGGCGACTTTTGGCCGAGATTACTTGAGACGAGGTCAACGTTAGACGACCCCCCGTGTCCTTGACGACCCCACTCGGTCGACACACGGGGCCAAACTCTTCTTGGCTGCGCAGGAGTGGTCGGGGTCCGCTTAGGCTATCGGCAAGACTAAGCTCGCCCCGGTTTGCTTACCAGGACGTCTGCCCCACGACCCGGGCTGAAGGTAATGTGGGACACAAAAAAAACACACACACAAAGATCCCCTCGTATAGCATTAACAGACTGTTGGGGCAAGTGCTGCTAGCCAGCGTCTATGAAGGCGGCACTGTGGCACGCAAGGGGGTGGGCGGCACCACGCCCGGTCGCCACCTTTGTCTCCCCGCAGTGACGATGTTTACACACCTCGTCAGATACTCATTTGAGGCCGAGTCGACCTCAGGGAGACCCAGGACCGGTTCAGATAATCATCACTGGTGTTGGCCGTGAGCGGGAATCGAACTCGGGCCGCCAGGTTCGTGATGCAGTGCGCTAACCGCTACACTACATGGGACGCAGATGCATGCACACACACACACAAAGATGCACGCACACACAAAGATGCACACACACGCACACCAACACTGGGCGAGGTAAGTAATGAATGCGACGAAATAGCGACGTCTTCTTCCACAGTCGTTCTACTTATATGACTTGGGTTGCCATCTCTGAGGGACAAACCACTTAAACATATCGTGAGAATAATACGTTGTATAAGCTGAAGATGGGAGGAACCACGTGTCAATGCATCATCTCGTGTAGTTGTAATCTTACGTAACTGACAAAAAAAACTAGACTTTTAACTTTCCCCGGGGGGAACAGTTTACTGGATTCCCAGCGCAGCCACGATTATGGAAGAAAACCAGGACAAGGTGGCAACGCTATAACAACAACAACAACAATAATAATAATAATCATATAACCCAGACGTGGGTGTTGACGTCGTGGGGTCGCTTATGACTGCGGCCGCACCCGTCGGCCAAAATGGTTGCAACGCCGTGCGATGTATGGAAAGGCGCCGCCGTACGAACGCAACCCCCTCGTGGCGCACTTCAGTGGACTCCCTGCTGCTGCTGCTGCTGCTGCTGCCCTTCCGTCTCCACCGTCTCCACCGCCTCGGCCGCCTCCTCCTGCTGGCCGGACGCGCACCTGCGGAGGCGTTCGCAGCGTGCCACGCGGTTGCCCTCCCAGTAGCCGGCCTCGAGGCCGTCGTGGCAGCGGCAGCGCGTGCACTCGTCGAGCCACACGTGGCTCCCGCCGGGGATCACGCGCCGCCCGCCCGCGTCCGCATAGCAGTTTGGACCTGGCCGGGCGGGGCGGGGAGGGGGGAGGTGCCGCAGTTAAAGGTCAAGAGGTCATCGTGACCCAGGGGGATGAGCGGTGGCGTCGACGCCACTCGTTTGTAGAGGTTTCGCAAGGTCCGAGCGCAGCGACCGCCCTGGTTGATACTGCAGGCCACGTGGACGCCACGGTGGCGAGATGTTAGCTTACCCTCACCTACATTCTTGGTTCTTTCGGTAAAGTCACGTAGAAGGGAAACGATAAAATAATAAAAATATAAAGCAATAAAATTCTCACGACGTTTCGACTGCGACACAAGCAATCATCATCAGGTGTGAAAACCACAGCAAGAAATTTTTTAAAAAGTGGCGTTTTTAACGTTAAAAAAGCGTTAAAGTGGCGTTTTTTTACGTAAAAAAGCATTAAAAAACGCCACTTTTTTCAAATTGTCTTGCTGTGGTTTCCACACCTGATGATGATTGCTTGTGTTGCAGTCGAAACGTCGTGAGAATTGTATTGTTTTATATTTTTATTATTTTATTGTTTCCCTTCTACGTGACTTTGCCGAAAGAACCAAGAATATGAATCCCTGCAGTCACGAAAGCTTTAAATCTAAATTTACCCTCACCTAGTCTACAGGAGGTCATGGGTTCGATCCTGACACCTGTTGTATATTTGGAGTGTACATGTCTCTCTCTCCCCGTGGTCGCGTGGATTTTTTTTGGGTCCTCCGGTTTTTCCCTCCAGATATAAAATCAACGTGGGTTCAGATTATTCAGCTGCTATACGTGACCACGTGATAAGCCACTTCATTGAGCTATAATTTGTGGCCAGGTCGCTTTCGGAAAAGAAAAAAACTGTATAGCTCAGTGGGTCTTACCTGGTAAAATAAAAATGACGTATATATTAATTATAATTATTACAATTGTTTACCGAGGAAAACATCACTGAGTCTCTTGACTTTTTTTAGGAGAATCCTGCCGAATTCAATGGAATGTACGTGCCGTCTGCTTCACGGTGGACGTTAAATATCCCGCAACATTTTTCGAAAAAGACGAGGAGTTCCAACGGGTGCCTGCGTCGTAGTCCAAATTCGATCTACACAGCGGACATAGCGACAAGTTATTTCATTGACGGGGGGGAGGGGGGGGAAATTATCGCAACAACATCGCACCCTGCAGGCAGACTCACGTACAGATGAAGACAGCTGCCACTGAGGGGCAATCCCCTTTATCGAGACTGGAGCAGGGCAATGGAACAGTTGAGATGAGATGTGATTAAAAAGAGCACTTTGACTCAGGGAGGAATTTAAGTGCTCTACATAATGCGCATCCTTATCCTTAATCCGGCTCATGCCATCGCATCTGGCTTTCGCTTTTTTTTCCGCTAGAGCCCTTGGCTGTTGCACAGTCGACACGTCTAACTGTCCACACATTTATAATTTACAAGGATAAGAACGCAAATGAGGTAACAGCCTTCACCTGTCTATACCTCTGCAACTTATTTCACCAAACGCTGTAGTACCCCTTCCCGGAAACGGTAAGGGGTTTGACAATAAAATGGCTGGGGAAATATCACGTTTCGCGGTCCAGTGAGAGATAAGTGAATGCACTCTGATTATGGGCAGCGGGCAGTTTTATGCAGGATGCTACATCACCTCGGGTGCTGTCAATAACAAGAGTGGGACGTGCATTGAATGTGAAATGATCAATAATTCAGTCCGGTGGCAGGAGGTGTTTCCCACCAGTGAGGTTCATGTTGTCACGGACGACCAGCGAGCAAATCGTGGGTGTGCGCTAATGAGCGATTAATTTACACATTGTTTCATTTTACACGCATTTTGCTCACGCGATGTCGCCCATAATTGAACTTTATATTATAATTTCATTTCTTATTCTGAGCTCTTTCGGTAAAGTCACATTGAAGGGAAACAATAAAATAAAATAATAATTTATATAAAACAATAAAAATTCTCACGACGTTTCGACCATAACACAAACGGTCAGAAACATGTAGTTTCTTGATGTAGTTTCTTGCCGTTGGTTTTCACACCTGATGATGACCGTTTGTGTTATGGTCGAAACGTCGTGAGAATTTTTATTGTTTTATATATATTTTATTATTTTATTGTTTCCCTTCAACGTGACTTTACCGAAAGAGCTAAGAATATGAATTACTGCAGTCACGAAAGCTTTAAATCAAAATTAAATTTCTCTCTCTCTCTTTCTCCCACCATTTAATGATATACATGTACAGTAACTGTTCTTAATTGTCTTCAATTGTTATATTTTTCCTATATTTTAACTTTCTAAGGATACATTACATATATGAGTACTGTGCCACTTTGTGAGGAAGTCATCAGTAGTTTGATATACTGGGCCCCTCCATATGAATGTGTAGCTTCCACTGCTGGCTCAGGGCTGTAAACTGGAGATGCTGATTTGAGCAAGAAATTACTTTGACCTGACTTCACGTACATGACATGTGGCTTATTTATATACTTGTTTATCAGGCTGCACATTCTTTAACTTGCTGTCCTGACAATATAACAATGTTGACTTCAGTCATTCAGTTTACATTCAATGAGTATTCCTGCTGCGTAGGTTTTCGGGTGGGTCCGTGCACTGTTTGGCATCACGTCCGACGTTTCAGCTCCCACGTGCTGGGAGCTTCTTCAGGGACCGAATAGCTCCCAGCGCGTGGTGCAAAACTTCGGGCATCGTGCCGACCAACACGCGATACACATCGGAGAGCTGTGTAGTTTGTATGTATGTCAAACTTCTTTCACACCGTACGTAGCCAACCGTGCTTAATCGGAGGTGCAAGGTGAGGGACAACAACATAGCTTGTCGATGCGAGGTCCATGTGCGTATTGCTCATATGCTGAACAGTCACAAGAGGGCACATTTGCACAACTCCAATCGGACAGGTCTTCCTTGCTTTGATGTCTCAGTATGTGGCCTCTGGCCTGCCTATACTATGCATATCCATTCGTGAAATCCAATTAGGAACATTTCATTAAACAATGCCAGACATTCCTTTTAAAATCGATATTGCATTTCAACCATCTCTCACTTTATATGCAACTTGAGTGATGTAAATATTACTGGGCACCAACCCAGAGGCGAAAACCACACAAAATCACACACATGCAAAAAAGCCATCTATTATTTATAATGTCCAGCTCTTTGACGATCCACTGCTGGATGACTTCCTCATGCACAGTGTGTAAGTCATCGGGGTTGTTTATATGTAAGTTGAACTTCCTCCACATCGTATGTAGCCAACCGTGCTAACCGGAGGTTTGACATTACTTCACCACGCTGGTTGCTGTGGGTTTCGTGAAAGTGGGCGACCAGGATCAGTTCAGATACCACTCCAGTCATCGGGGTCATAGCGCAGTGTCTTAACCGCTGAACCACCGCTCCATCCGAATAATGAGAAATTGGTTTATAATGCAGTCATGTATTTGAGATTAAGAGCCAACCTATTCACGTATGTCAATATACGAGACAATGGAGGAAGCATGCATCTTGTGCTGGAAACAAGGGGAAATGCATCGGAGAAAACGGACACGCGCGAGGGGGCTACACTCTATCCTGGACAGAAGGGACAGATGTGACCGTTAGTCCGCAATGCACTCTTAAATCTCGACAGAAGACTCATTTATTTAGAGGCGCTTTTTGTGTTTAGTTTGGCGTCCTTCCCCCGCACCTCCGTTAAGCACGGTTGGCTATGCACGGTGCAAAAGAAGGTCAACGTACGTTCATACTCTGCTCTACTTCCCCCGCCATCTCCTCGCGAGCCAGGGTGCGTGGCAGAGCGCGAACCGTGCCCTCACGCTCACCGTCCTTGCAGGTGGGGCAGCAGTCGCCCTTCTCGTACACGGGGTTGACGCAGGGAGGGGGAGCACAGTCGGCGACCAGGCAGCGCGGGATCCCGTCCAGCTCACACGTGCACTGCTCGCAGGCGGACGGCTGCTCGCCCCAAGGGTGGAACGGACAATAACCCCGTAACGGTTATTCAAACGAAATTCGCGGCTCAGAGGTCGAAGTGATCTGCTGCTCGAATGAAAACTATAAACTTGACTGGAATTTGTTTTTTTTTTTTTTAAACCATGAAAGGTACACTGAGATATATAGCTCTTTTTTTATATGCGACCTGGCCACCAATGATAGCTCAATGGAGTGGCTTATCGTGTGGAGATTTATAGCAGCCAAATACTCTGAACGCGTGTTTCTAAATGTGCTAACTCAAAATATGCAGCAGGCGTCAAGGTCGGGATCAAACCCACGACCTGTATACCGGCGAGGTAATTAACATCTCGCCACCAGGGCATCCGAAATGAGCACTGAGGTGGCGCCCATCTACTCATTCTCCATCTATGAGCCGTAGAAGGAAATTCCACGTTCCTGTGGCGGAGGTTAGTTTATCCGTAGGACAACTGCTGTTGACTTCCCCACAGAGTGGTACCTTATTTTATAGACCCCCAGAGAGACAGTGAGCTGAGTCATTTCACAACTAAGATTTGAACTGGCATCCTTCTAATTGCGAGCCTGGCCGCTTAAAATTATCGAGTGAAATTGGAAAACACAATAATACAACACAATTATATTATTGTTATATAACGTACTTTTGGATTTTTAAAACATCAAAATGCGACCGCATCTCAAGGTGGGAAGGGACGTGATGCGATGGGGTCAGCTGAAATAGGGTCAGGGTGTGATGGTAAGGCATGAGACTTGGTCATAATGTGATGGGAAGCGATGAGTTTCCACATCGTATGGATGTGTTGGGATGAAATGTGGATTAAATGGGTCAAGATCACTTGGGATGGCGATGCGAGATGTTCTTCTTCCCAAATTGTGTCCCAATGTTTTTTGTATCTTGCAGATATGTATGTATGTTGAACTTCTTTTCTTACGTAGCCAACCGTGTTAATCTATAGGTGGCAACTCTAGATGAGGCTCGACTATGATGGGATTAAAAATATATATGCTTCTCTTAAGAGTAGGCCTGCCTCCACTGTGTTCAGACTCGAGCAGTATCAGCGGCAAAGCAGAAATCCACGTGGGGCTCGGTGGAATTTCAGGACATCCAGCCCGGCAGCTTTTCTCTACCGCTCGTGTAAACGTGTGTATTCTTGTAGCCACTGGAACGGCAGTGAATTTGGTGGAACGAATAGCTCAGAGACGAATGGAAGCCTCATCAGTGGCTCCCCTCCGGAGACTCAACAACCCGAAGCCGCCAGTGCCCAGCTGCAATGTGAAAAGGTAATTTGAAACGGGACGTGCATATTCCCAACCGTACTTGCGTACGTGCATGAGTGCATGTCCTGCTCAGCTCACGGCCAACACCAGTGACGACTATCTAAACTGGTCCTAGGGCTCCCCTAGGTCGACTCAGCCTCATATGAGTACCTGGTGTGGTGTGTGAACATCAGCACTGGGGAGACAAAGGCGGCCAGGCTTGGTGCTAGCCACCCAACCCTAAGTCAGCCTTGATAGGTGCTCGCTAAAAGCACTTTCCCAAAAAGTCTGTTAAGGCTATATGGGGGGTCTTTGTCTTTGTGTATTTGTGCACTGAAATGACTTGGTTCAGTGGTGGTGCTAACCCATTGGGGGTCATAAACAGACATATTTGGGGACTGCCTTTCAATGTATAAACTCCTAGTGAAGAGATATAAACAAGAGGTAGAGATGTAGTGCGATAAAGAAAACATGCAGGCAAACATATAGATGAAGTGAAATTAGATAAGAGAGATGCACACAAGATAGAGATGGCAGATTAATTGCTTTATTTCCTTGCTATGTTTATTTTAATATGAACCTCTATTTAAAGCACCCTTATTTTCCATGAATCCAAGAGCCATTGGTCTTCCTGGTATCATACACTTGTGCTTGGTTTACTTGATGCCCAGCGCCACCACTCGCTTGATTGTATGTTCATCGGTTGTTGAGAAAATGTTCGGTTGCGATAATGATTTCATTTGTCAACTGAGTTATTTTAGCAGCGCCATACCTGAATTTGTTTTAGCCCATGAGCCAGCGTTCTATGCGTGGCCACGTGCGCTGCATTAAAATTGGACAAATTAACAGTGATCAGTCGAATTGGAGATCGAATTATATTGTAAAGAAGACGGTGGCTAAATTAATCACTGTTTTTTTTAATAATCCACTGTAGGTCAGCCGTGCGATGGCTATGAATCGCGGTCGTCACTTGATAACACACATCACGACTCTGTGTTGCCTCTAAAAATATACGGCCAATATATTTTGGTAAATATGAAATGAGACGTGGATACCATCCAATATTAAATATTTACACGCACAGAACCAACGTGGATGGAATCCACATTGTAACCCTTAGCGTGGAAGTGAAATTAATGATGTATGGAGGCTTTTAGTGAAAGATGTCCCACATCAAATGTACACATTTCAGCTACACTCAAAAGTAATTAATATTGTAAAGTGAAATCCTGATAATAGGTTTTTCCCCTTTTATCTGGCAACAAAACAGGTGTTAAGATGTTAAAACACCAAACTAAACCTTTTACAAGCAACCATGCCTACATTAACCACAATGCTTGTGGTCAGTATGCAAACAAAAAACATACTCTGATAATATGAGTTGTCCTTGAAACGGATTGGTCCACACCAGAGACAGCTTTCTTTTGAGCCTCGTCTCAAACGGTGTTAGACCAGAGGAAGCCAAAAGGCGTACAAATCCTGTATGCGAGTCTGCAATCTCTTCAAACTGTCTAACTTATACACTCAAGATAAAGGTGCAGCCCTGCAATTGTTCTGCTATCACCACTGCTACTAGAGGGAGCTTCAGAGAACCCCTCAAGAAGATATTTTTTGCAAACTATTCCACGCTTGCCAGACGTCTTGGGAGCGGTGGGAGTCCCTCCACGTTGCCCCACCACACACGACCTGCCAATCGACTCACTTAACTGTTGTGTTACACCATTGGAACCTTCTTTGCCAGTAGCAAAATATGATAATTGTTTTTTTACCCTTTTATCTGGCAACAAAACTGACACCTTTTTTTACAAGGAGTCATGTTTGCATTGACCACAATACCTGCGGTCGGAATGCAAACAAAAAATATAACTGTGATAATGTATGCACTATCCTTGAAATTGATTGGTCCACACTCGAGACAGCGTTCCTTAGAGCCTAGTCTCACATGGTGTTGGACCAGAAGACGCCAAAAGGCGCACAACTCAAAGACAATGCACCACCAGAGTATGAGAGCTCAGGGTAAGCATTTACACCATTGGAAACCTCCTCTGCCAGTAGCAAAATATGATATTTGTTTTTTTTACCTTTTAACAAAACTGACACCTTTTTTACAAGGAGTCATGTTTGCATTGTTGTGTTACACCCCGCCGCTCCGGATGCAGTTGTCCGGCTTGACCACCTGAATGTGAAATTGAAGTTTGTTACTCTGTGTCCACATCAGCCATACTGCTGGGTGGACAGAGGTGGTCGGGGTGATTTAAGAAACTATCTTCATTGTTTCAACTGCTGCGCTGAAATATGAAACTGGCAACCTCTGGATTGCAAGTCCAGTGTGCTAACCATGACACTGGCAGCATCTCAAGATTGTAAAATATAATCCTATATGCATGTCTGTAACCCAAATGTAAATTATGCGCGTATTATAATTGTTTTACAATCAATAATCTTAGCCTAGGCGCATTTTCACAATGAGCCAGAAAAACAAAGTTAATAATTGCGTCTTTCCTATGGCAAAAAATGTCCACCATCTGTGCTCCGCTGTTCCAAATTGCCGAGAAACAAATTAGTCTGGGTCTCTTTGGCAAATTGCCATATGCCTCATGTTTTCCGTTTTGCCGAGGAGGCTGTCTGTCCGTGTATGCCTGTCGAGCATCTCCCAGGAGCTCGTATTTTCTCACAAGTTCTAGGTAAACGCAGCATTGTGAGTTCGTGGGAGCGAAAAAGCCCTGGGTTCCACGCGCTCTCGTTTCTATGCGGCGTGCGTTGGTTCTTATCACGGCAGGGCAGGGGCAGAAACGCGCCTGTGAATATCAACGAAAACGAATCGCGATGTCAACCAAAAAAAAACCAGAACAAAACTCTGACCGGAATGAAAATGCCGAGGTCACAGTTTTGCCCCGAACGGACCCAGATCGAGCCAGATGTGCTTCCTTATAACGTTCACCGCACGCGTGCGTGCAGAAGGGCCGATCCCTCGGGTGTGACTTTAATGCAAACATGTGGCGTATTGTGGGGGCGCCGCGATGGCGAGATGGTAACTACCTCGCCTGTTATGCAGGCCGCTCATGGTTTCGATCCTGATCCCGACCCTGACGCCTGCTGTATATTTGAAGTTTGCATGTTTCTCTCTCTCTCTCCCCACGATTGTGTTGATTTTTCTCCGGGTCCTCCGGTTTTCCCCTCCACATTTAGAATCAACATCACGCGTTTGGAGTATTTGGCTGCTACAAATTCCCGCGCGAAAAGCCACTTCGTTGAGCTATGCTTTGTGATGGCCAGGTCACTTCTGAGAAGAAAAAAAAGCTGCCTGGCTCAGTGTGCCTCACCTGATAAAATAAAAACATTTGTTTAGTTTTATAGCTTAGTGTGTGCGCGCGTGCACAGTGTGTCAACTTTGACAGCAGCGCTGACGTCAATGCACGTGTCCCAACCCCCATCCCATCGTGAAATAATGGGAAGGCCGTCACACCCCCCCCCCCCCTTCTCGTGCAGCGATGCAAAGATTCCGAGAGCGAGTGCACCGCGTTGCCTGTGCAACTGTTGGCTGGCGACGACTGACATTGTTAGGGGTGGGGGGGGAGAGGGCGCGGAGGTTGGTGGCGAGAGAAGAGAGAGGGAGTCTGAAGAGATGGGGGAGGCGGAGGAGTTGGTAGAGAGAGAGAGGGGAAAGCATGGCAACTGGTGCCGGGCATCCAAGAACTCTCAGCCTCGTAATAAAACGATGGGTAGGTTGGGTGAGAGGTCATGTGGGTTTTGAGCGAAAGGAAGAGAGAGAGAGAGACAGAGGGATGGGAGGGAGTTTGTCCCTAATCGCTTTGTGTGCCTCCAATGAGCCGTTGGGACTGTGTGGGTCAACCCGCGGCCACCTGCCTGCAACTGGTGTGGGAGCAACACATCCTGTGTTGACCCCGCGCGCGCGACGCATTCGTTTCCAGCCTTGCATACCATACAAAGCTCTCCTCTGTCCGGCCAAGAATTGTACATGGGTCCAATTGCGTACTCTATCGTCACACTGATCCTTCCGAAGAAATAGCTTATGCAACGTTGGTTAGCACACTGGCGGTCGACGGTTCGATCTCCAGGTGCGGCATTTAAAACACTCTGCAGGTTTCTTAAATTCACGCCCCCTCCCCTCCCCGCCTCTGTACACCCAGCAGTAACGAGTAGTACATCTTAGTTAATCTATCGGCAGGTCGCATGTGATGGTGTAAAGTGTGGGATACTCCCACCTGTTTTCAATATTTATGGCCAGGCCAGCATCGAACAGTAGGAAATAATACGCTGTAGAGGCTCTTCTTCCAGCAGCGGCATAGCCAGGAAATTGCAGGGCTGCACCTTTAACCTTTCACTTATTATGAAAGCTATCTCACGATGACTTCTGTATGAATTTGAAAGAAAAAAAACAATCTCTTTGTGCGTGACAGCAATGACATATGGACGAGATCAGTTGCAGTCTCGACTTTGCTCTCGTGTTATCTATGTAAGCTTCATATTTACTGTGATTGCGGATGCCAAAATCATTGGTGTGGTCATTCATTAATATTTGGTCCGACTTGAGCCGTCTAACTTAAACAAATAAACCTGTCGCTTAACCAATGGAAGTTTAATCATTATTTTTTAAAAATTTAAAATACGGTCACTGATAGCCATCAATGACTCGCGATTTATCTCGACCCGCCCTCTTCTACGTTACCATAATCAGGAGCAGCAGCAACGCTGGCAAGCAGATGCAGCGGCGGCGGCGGCGGCAGCAGCGAAAGGCTATCGTGAATTAATTGTTGTTGTTTATTTGTACTGCAGGCAAATGCCGCGAGAGGAAATGCTTGCTTATGTCAATGACTGCTGCTTGCAGTCGGCCCTTGGCTGCGCCGCAGCACTTCTTCTTCTTCTTCTCACGCGACAAAGATCAAAACCCTTCTTACATTTATCTCCACCGCGATTTTAAAAAAATGCGAACCTCTCTGCCAAAATGCCCTTCCAACCGCGCGCCACATGGAAATGCTTCCAGCGTATTAGACACTCAGGTCCAAAATGGCTTTGGCAAGTCATGCAACGGCGATCCTGCTATTTTTACGAGATGCTAAAAACCCTACACGCGAGAGATTGCCACGTTCACTTGCATCCGGCGGAGCAGCGGTAGGGCGGTTAGTGTCAAAGCCAATGAACCTCGACACATGAGTTTGATTGACAGCCATGGCTAAACACCAGTGGTGAGTGGTATATGAAGCGGTCACGATGCCCCTCTGCCTTCATCATCCCGCAATGACCAGTGTGGTGAAGTGTGGTAAAAAAAAAAAAATCCCCCATGACTGACACAACATGTGGAGGCCCACATCCAGCAGTGTATTAAAAAAGGTCTGTAAAAATATAATTTATTTATCAACTCTTAAGTCCATCGGCCCAAAACAGATATTTGTCTTATAGATACGACCCAATGTGGTAAAATAAAATATTAAAAGCAGACAAACGTTAAATAACACGCCTTAAAAAATACTCATTTTAAAGTTATCACAACTCAACGTACTTTTATTTTCCGCATAAAGCAACTGGTACCACTAATGTTTTGCCATTCTAGGTGTTACCAATTGGACCCAATCCAGATATTTTAACCTGTTGTATCACCTGAAATATAATACATTGCGTTCATGTAAAAAAAAAGTCACCCATTTGCCAACAGTTTTCCATAAACAACACTTTTCATCAGCCATGATTTAGCTACTGCTGGATGAAGGTCTCGCCACGGCATTGCCTTCTCTCACAACCCAGCGATGATGCCACAAACCAACTCGCTCCGGGCCACTGTCTGATCTCATCACTCCATCTTCATGCTGGTATTCCTCAAGGGTGTGTGCCCTCCTTTGACTGCACTTCCATCATCAGTCTCATCCATCTGCCATGCTTGTCGCCATGTCAGATTATTTTCTTAGCTGTCAATATCACGTCTCCAATGTCAGTGTCTATGTTTCTGATCCATCTGTTAAAGTAGAGGGATGTCAAAATCATTTTTGTTGTGTAGATAAGTCTATCAGTTTGGCAGATTCATCCTATTTTCCGCAAATTATTTTGCAGATAAATGGAGTAAATTTACAAATGACCCAGTAAATAATAGATTTCGTGATGCCCACCACCCGTACCCAGATAACCACGGATAAGAGGAATTCGACTGTGCTGTACTAAAAAGGATGAGAACCCTACCTCACTTTCCAAGACTACGCACGCCTTTAGGGAGCAATTTGGTCGTACTCCCCGACGTATATTTGTCCTATGTTAGGCCATCGTGGGGGAAATTTAAGGCATTCCTACATTTTTCAAGATGTCTGGCCAGCTTAGACGAGTATCCCACAACACTCTCACGCAAGGATCCTCTCTCTGTAGGCCCTTCTAGTGGAGGCTCTTCTGCCAGCTTTGGCATTAGCAGGTAATTGCACGGGTGCACCTTTTAGCTTGAGTGTCCCGTGTAGGCAGGCGGCTTGCAGATTTTGCAGGCAGACACGCGGTTGCCCTCTACAATGTGAATTACTTTCGAGGTTTCATCCGAAGGGTAACTAAAACCGCCACGTACATTTGGCCGCAGTTCAATGGAGTACATGGTGAATCTCAGTGAGCTGTCATTCACTTCAATAGAGTACACAGTGAATCTCAGTGAACTCTTACTAACTTCAAAAAATTACAAAGCAGTGAATCTCAGCGGTGAAACATCGGTGCAAAAAAAAAAACACACCAAGGGCCTCCACCTGACCATCAATCGCATCTCAATAATTCACACCCCCCCACCACCACCACCACCACCTTCTATCTCACCTGGAACTTGTGGCCCAGTTCGTACACGTGTCCCCGGTACTCGCAGCCGACCCGCTCGCATCGCGGGCAGCAGTCGCTTGGGTAGTGGCTCACGTGCACGCAGGCGGGCGGCAACGCGGCGCACTCGGTGCGCGCGCACGCCGGACCCTCGGTCGTGCACTCGCACTGCGTGCAGTGGTCGGCGTCCGGGAAGAACCACTCGCCCACGTAGTACACGCTGCCGTTGGCTCGGCAGGTGTGACCCGTTTGGTGGGCCACGGCGGCGGCGCTCGCCACCGGCAGCCAGCCGCACCAGGCGGAGAGCGCGAGGAGGAGGAGACGCGGCGTGGGTGCCCGAGCGCGCAAAATTGGCCCCATCTTGATAATCGCACGCACGGAGACACACTTTTCTCTCTCTCTCTATCTGTGCGCCTGCTATAGTTGGCCGGAAAGGCTTCACACCAGAGCTGGTGTAATTTGTCAAAAGAGTTAATTCGCACTTTTGTTTTGCGATAAATGTACGATACTCTAGTTAGCCTATACGCGTGTTAGTTTGATGCTGATTTTTCTTTTTTTAGAAATGTGTAACTCGAGCCTGCCTGGCAATGCAATTTAAAACAAAAAAAACTGCTCTCTACCCCAGTTAAACGTTACTTATGAACATACACTGTACTTATAAAACAATGTATATATTTTCAAAACAACATAGCACACGTCCCGTTCGCTGGCGGCTGTTGGTAAACGCGAAGGAGACGGTGGTGAGTCGAGTCGGTTGTACACAGCGGGCTGAAGATGCTGGAGGAATTTGTGTTATGGCCGTTGCTGCTGCCTTGTGATACTTTGAGTCTATACCGGCGAGACGCGCAGCAGATATGCATCTGTGCGCGGTCACTCTCTCTGGCTGTCGGAGCTGCTGCCTCCTCCCTCCTCCTTCCTCGCACCCCCCTTCAACCTCCATCCCCCACGCCGTGCCCTGGGGAGTGGCTCGCATCGCCACCCACCCACCCCAGTATGGAAATTCGTAATGCGTAATGCGCAAAAAGAGCTCACGGCTGTTCGCTGGGGCGAGCGGCGTTGCGCACCAAAATCCGATCGTGTTCGGAGTTGTGGGGGGGGGAATTCCCTTATTTTGTTGACAATTTTTGCTCAGAAATGTATTGCAACCGTGATGTCGGTGTCGGCAACAGCAGCAGGGGCCACCGATCTAACCACTGTTGCGTGAAGGCATCCCAAAAGCCATGATCATGGATAGTAAACCACTGCAACCGGCGTTCCTTCAATTTGAAGAATTAAAAAAAACTACACGAATTCTCTCTCTCTCTCCTGAAGGCCTCTCGGGACTGCAGACCTCGACATTGGCATTCAGTTCCTGGACGTACCGCTTACGCAAGAATTTAAATTATACAAATGGTTATACAGTTATAATAGACCCTGCACACGATACTGATTTTCATCGCTTAATCTATTCTGTGGACGTACTCTCAGACGCGTTCCATTCCTTGGCCGCCACTTAGTGGCGTAGTAACTACATGATCAACTCGGGGGGGGGGGGGGGGTGCGGCAATCGGTCAAGTGGGGTCCCAATATTTAATTTGTCTCGCACGGTCGAACCTAGGCTGCTTATATAGCGTGATTCCTCTTCCCTAATCACATCATTGCACTCAAGGTCTCGAACATTTAACACTGTAGGGGCGCTCCATCTTCGCAAAATTCAACCACTACAGCTCAGAAGTACCTGCCAGAAATAATAAATAATATTTAAAAACAACTTTTTTTTTTAAAACACGCTTTAATGAAATGTACCGTACTAGTAATGGCAGGACTCCACGACTCCAGGAAGTGGCCCCGAAGCTTGCCACAACGTAAGGGGGCCGTGGCCAATTAGACCCAATCCGAAACATAACATAAAAAAGAACGTTTAAAAATATATACTTTTATTTTTTTATGATAGAATACCGTATTATATTGTTGGTTCTTTCGGTAAAGTCACGTAGAAGGGTCACGTATAGCAGCTGAATAATCTGAACCCACGTTGATTTTGTATCTGGAGGGAAAAACCGGAGGACCCGAAAAAAATCCACGCGACCACGGGGAGAGAGAGACATGTACACTCCAAATATACAACAGGCGTCAGGATCGAACCCACGACCTCCTGTAGACTAGGTGAGGGTAAATTTAGATTTAAAGCTTTCGTGACTGCAGGGATTCATATTCTTGGTTCTTTCGGTAAAGTCACGTAGAAGGGAAACAATAAAGTAATAAAAATATAAAACAATAAACTTCTCACGACGTTTCGACTGCAACACAAGCAATCATCATCAGGTGTGAAAACCACAACAAGAAATGTTGTATTGTTTCCCTTCTACGTGACTTTACCGAAAGAACCAATAATATGAATCCCTGCAGTCACGAAAGCTTTAAATCAAAATAGAATATAGTATTGTCATCAGTGTGACGTAAGTATACCAAGTTTGCAGTCGATAGCACATTGGGAAGTGGGTTAAAATTGAGTTACAAGATTTGAGGATACAACAACAACAACAACGACAACAACAGGCAGAGTGAGTTAAATAAAAGCGCGTAATAATAATAACAAAAAGGGGAAAACCTATTCTCATATTTTCGTACTGGCAAAGGAGGTCCAATGATGAGCCGAAGTACCTCTTTGCAATAATACGTTCCTGCTCTAATTACATTAAAAGAAGACGTGGAAGGTTACGTAAAAGCATTTTCATAAAAATACATTTAAACCACATTTTAAGTGAGGGTTTTTGTACTTTTGACACTGTTGTTGAACACATATCTCACGGTTGTTGTCAAGGCGGCCCCAACTCGTAGCTTTGGCCACCAGGAGAGGCCAAGGTGGGTGCCCCCACGCTAGTAAGGGGCCGTCCATAAATGACGTCACGTGACTTTGGACGATTTTTGACCCCCCCCCTTCGTCACAGGGCGTCACAAAAAGTCAGACCCCCCCCCTCAAATATGACGTCACAAAGCTCTGCCCCCCCCCTAAAAAAATAAAAAATGCTTCAAATCGCTTTAAACTATTGTCATTGTAGTGCGTATTTTATGTGGCGCTGCACCATGATGTTGTAGGAGAAAACATTTATTAAAAAGTCTATTTAATTAAGTAGAACAATATTGTCCATATTTATTTAAAGTTGCGCATTTTGATGTGACGTCACATTTCTCAAACCCTCACCCCCCCCCCCCCCCCCCTTCGTCACACATCGTCACAAATGTCTGACCCCACCACCGCCCCTCCTTAGGTGCGTGACGTCATTTATGGACGGCCCCTTACGCGACTTCCGCCACTCCGTCATTATTCTTGACCATCGGCCAGATGCCCACCGTTACTGGCCCTGTCGTGCCCTGCTCAAGCCCATTTTAACTTTCCTTCGCAGTTTGAATGATTGCGACACGAACCTGCCCGCGTGTGTTCTCTCATCATTGTCGCACTGTTCCCTAATTCACGAACGCGCTCGATCTCGTCAGATCTTGGAAGATAAGCCAAGGGTACGCCTGGCTTGCGCTTGAATGAGCCAACTGCCTCGGTGTGAGAGGCGTTATGGGGCTATATGCTGCCTTGTGTACCGCAGAGTCGCAGTGCACCGACACAATTTGTTGCAGTGTACTTCTATGCTCCAACGTCTGTACTTACCGCCCCCATCAGCACGCACTGAGCAGCGTGGTGAAGTATGGTGAAGTAACCCAACAACCTGCGCGGCGTGGGGAGGCCCCTCATCCAGCAGTGGATCGATAAACAAAGGGCTGTACGTGTGCCATCGGCGTGATGGTATAGTAAGAGGGAGTGTCCAGAGACGACTCTCACAGAACAATTGTAGCGCCCCGTAGCAGAGAACGGCACTCATCTGTAAATGACGATCGTACAAAGGCGTGGCGGTTCCATGGTGTAATGGTTAGCACTCAGGACTCTGAATCCTGCGATCCGAGTTCAAATCTCGGTGGGACCTACATAATTATTTTATTATACTGTGCCGATGAGTCTTAATTATGATGATACCGCTCCGCAGTTCTGCATCACTGCTGCTGTCAGTCACATTTGCTGATTTTTTTTTTCATGGTGACCTAAGACAAGATGACCATAATGCACGAAGAAGTAGACATCACAGAACGACTTCTGAGATTTCCTTCGAGTCATTTGTTGTCTCTACACACAGGGGTCACTACACTGCCCCACGTGTCCCGCTATAGAGAGACTTTCGTAGCCAAGATAGGCGAAACACTATATTAAATGTGGTAGCGTTTATTTGTGTATATATGCAGTCATTTGTGAATCGGCGGAGATAATAAAACCTTTACACTTGAAAACAAGGTTTAATCGCAGGTATCTGAAACCTGGATTTTAACCAAGGCCCTCAGCAGCACTATCACTGTGCTCTGACCCCTAAGTCAACCAGACACCTGGTGTCAGGATAAAAATATATAATGTCCATGCTAACTACTGTTTATCAATAATAAACATGGAATGAATGTGTTCAGGAAATAAAAAATCCATGAGACTTACAGTTCTTTCACATTTGACAAACTGCAGGGTCCACTCGTATGGTCTCATCACCACTTTCGTCGATTTTCAGAAAATCCCCTTGTTACATTGTCGAGAGGTGGCTCAACGACCGTTCTTCCAGTCTCACTCCCACCTGGCTTTTGGGCTTGGACTTAGAGGACTCTAGGTTCCATTCCAATGCCTGGCGTGGTAACTTGCCCTCCCCCACCTTACACACGTGCCCCACTCATCGCAGCCTCCTCCTCTCAATGATGCCCACAAATGGTTGATGCCGCCACACCTCGCCATCGCCTATTTCTGTTCAACCCTTCCGTTGTTGCACAGTAATCATCTAACCTCAAAGGTCTGCACTTATAATATCCCAACAATGCGGCTTAAGGTCTTCACCTTGGTTTCTGTCTTGTTAACCTGCATGATAGAGACGTGTCCCACCCATCACAACCTCCGTTTCCATCTTTAAGAATGTTTTGGTAAATATTAGCAGGAGTGTCACAATCGCAGGACTGCGAGAGATGGCAATAGCTTAGGGAGGCCTTTAATCCAGCAGTGAATCGATCATGGCTGATAACAATGATGTTGATGCGCAGGATCAATGTTGGGTGACTGCATCTGCCCTTTCCTCTGTCAACTCACTTTGTATGGTTAGGATGGTCAGTATGTGGAATTACATGCACTGCTTACGTTTCCCTTCAACGTGATTTTACCGAAAGAACTAAGAATATAATTTTGATTCTGTTTAATCATTAATTATTATGGTAATTTAATACATTTCTTTGTTACCACTCTCCCCTTGCATCAAACCTGCTTAATGTCGAGACCCTTTCCAGCTCGTTCTCCCAAATATCTTCCCTGTCGCCATTTTCTTCGGCTTTCTTCAGCGATTTTGCTCGATTGTTTGTTTTTAGTTGGGTTTGAAGACTGGTCTGCCCGATTTCTAGGGGGGGGGGGGGCTGCCTGAGAGAGCATCGGACTCTCCCAGGGCCTTTCTGAGAGCTATGGTAGTATGGCAACTCTTGAGGCCTATCTTTGAGACAACGTGGTAGTTGGAGGCTTCCTTGGGGCCTGTGTTTGATACGATGTGGGGGCTTGTGAGACTGTAGAGGCCTGAATGACGATATGGTAGTGGATTAGACTGGTCTTTTCATCCATCTTGTTACAGAACCTCAGTTATTTTGACTTTGATTGCTTTTGTGCCCCATTTTGTGTGGTCCCATTGTGTGATGTGTTACATTTGTTGTCGTTTTGTATGTGATCAGTCTCAAAATGTTCCCTTTTTTGCCTGGATGTTTTGTATATCTCGTTTGCGTTGCAAAGCCAGTCGAGTCCCTGTTTGTGGAAATGCGCGCTCAATCACTAAACATTCTTATTCATATCTTGACTTAAAGCTTTCGTGATTGTAGGAATTCATATTCTTTGGGTCTTTCGGTAAAGCCACGTAGATAGAAAA